TCTTCAACGTATAATTTAGTTCAGCGTCGATCATTTATCATCCTTAGAAGAAAATATTCTGATCTTTACGTTTAACTATAAAATTGCTTTGGCTTACATTGTGCGCATAAAAGGAGCGTTAAATTAAACATGAGTTGATTCCACGCGAGGGTTTTACCTGGAAAAATGCCTGCACACGAGAGACACCGACATTACCGCGTGTCCCTTTCTGGAAAACATTCGTGTTATGACAAGAAAGGTCAGCTTAAGGGTTTTGGGTTACCCAAACTATGCAATTTTGACGCCGAAAAGTGCCAAAAAGTAATTACAGAAACTTCATCCGCAACACCTTGAACGTGCTGTGGGCGCGAACTGAGATCTTCTCTTACAGTTAATAATTGCCAGGCGGAACTCAGATCCGGCTTAGCCTAATTTGCATAAATTTTTTTGGTGGGCAAAGCTCGTCATGCCGTGGATGAAATGAGTCAATTAGTTGTGATTAACAGGGAAGACACGATGAAGTTACGAATGGAATGCTCGACTTTCGGAAACCGTACGCCTCAGAGAGACGTTTTGGGATGTGGAGCTCCTTCGTTCAATATCCCAAAGTCCGTGTTTGAGTATCATTTACAAGAAGGATTCAAGAACAAAGATATTGTATCTATGTTGTCCGTGTCAGATAACGACAAACGTACAGCACATAACGACAAAAGCATAGCTTATAATAAAGAAAATTGACATAAGACAGTCCTGGCGTTCCATATTCTACCCTGGGTATAGACGTGCTTACAAGTCGCGGTTTTGAGCGCGTAGCGCTACAGTGAGCGAGCCGAGCCGACCTCGCGAAAGCGCGACTTGTTTCCCGTGCAGAGTTTCACATCAAGTGACGTCATTTTGGCGCGAACTTCTGCAAGCGCTGCCTGTCTAACTGTCAAAATACTTTTCGCACCTCGCGAAATCGACCAATGGTTTGGTAATGGAGGAGGAAGCTACACCAACTAAAACTTTTATTCGGGTTGCTGTACCGGAAAACATTTGCCTACAATGTGGCAAATTGGTAGAAAATCTGGCGTTAGGGAGAAAGTTGTTTTCAGGGAAACAGAAGACCAAAACTTGTCAAAGTCTAGAGCTTCTTCTAGGAGATGTTTTTCCGCGAGACAACGAATTGGGAACTATCTGCCGAAACAGCTCGGAACGCAACGAAACGCTGACAGAGAAAATTTTTCAAGTTAGGGCTAACTACGCAAACAGTACACACTTCCAGTCTTTCGCCGTGCTCTAAATAGTCGCAAACATAGGGAGCAACTTCAAAAGTCAAGCTTTTTCCTGTTCCTGTTAGCGCCGAAAGAAATTATTTTCCTTTGATGTTCACGGCCATCTTTGTACTGTGCTTTTCGCAACCCATAAGCGATTGCGTCCTTGACTGAACGCATCGTACAACCAGCTGAAAATTTAAGTTTTAGCAAAAGCCTCTACATAAACAAACAGCTTAGCAAAACACTCGCAGGAATTTTACCCAGACAGGTTTCATGTTTCTAACCTGAGTATCAGGCCTCTTTCCCTCTCCTCTAATTTTTCCCCCGAGGGCCTGATACTCAGGTTATCATGTTTAAAGATCTTGCGCACGTGATCTGTAATAATAATAATAATAATTGAATAATAATTTACATTTATATAGCGCAGACCTCTATATGCAGTCGCGCTTCACGATATCATAAGATAAAATTATGGCAAAAGCAACTAAGATATAAGAACCTATTGGAACCTACGAGTCTATGCACTCAAAGAGAACAATAGCCTAGCTGAGTGAATAAGAAACATG